TCTTTTCACAGTAGGAAGAGGAAGGGAGGGTTGTCCTGGTACCTGTCCAGATATCACCACAGGTGGGATTTTGGAGAGTTGCTACCTGGGTGACAATGCATTTTAAAGACAGCATTTGATTCATGTGTTACTGGAGTGTTTAGGGGGCAGGCTTTGACTCTCATAGCCCTACCAAGCTAGACTCCGACACCCGTCCATAATACACCAGGGAAAAAGGCAAGTACTAGTGAAAAGCAGAGAAACGAGATTTGTTCAGTATAGCACACTGGGAAGAAGAATAAAGAGGTCCAGTGATCACCCAAGTCCAAGTCCATCTTCAGGGTCCTGGACATGGGGTTTAGGTTTAAACTGAGGACAAGAAGTGTACTTAGTAGCCTGGTCAGGGTGAAGTCTCTATACATCATTGACCCATCATTGTTTCCTGACTCCCAGTCTGTCCTATAAGTTGTCAGAACTGTGAAATCCCTTTTTGAGAGACAAGCTTCTCCTCTGCCTGGCATTAAGGCTTTAGGCTTTTCTTTCCCCAGCATGACACTCCTGAAGAAATTTATTTTCCTTGTGGTCCAGGGAATTACTTAGTCAGATGGCCAAAGGGAGAGGCACAAGTGTCTCTGTTTAAAGGTCTCTGCTCTTGCAACGTCAGTTACACATGCACTTACTCTCCTGACCTAGCTTTCCTTCCTCTGTGTAACATTCAAGTGTCAATCACCTGGCCCCTTTTATGAGATTTTATGTATAGTGCCTGTGTTTCTTCATGTTAATACATGAGTATATTTTTCTCCTGTCACTATCTAATTCATACAGTGAAATAATCAAAACTTTAGAGGGAAAAGAAAAGAATTTTAAACGTTTCTGTATGGTGCCTGGTTGTGTTGAAGCAGGAACTGGGATGCTTTTTCTCATCTGCTCATGCAGGCATTTCCCCTCTTTCCTCCTGGAAGCCCACCTTTCTCCTGCTGTAGTCAGAGGCTTTCAGCCCCAGGTGGTATAACTATGCAGGTGAAACTCTCCCCTTGGAAACAGCATTTGCTTTCCCCATCAGGTCCCTGGTGCTCCAAGCTGTGAACTCACAATCACTACCTTCTGGAGGCTCCAGCTCAGCCTGTGTCAGAGCAGATGCTGTTTGGGAAGAGTTGAAGCAACTGCCGTAAACACTGATGGAGAACTTGACTAGCTTCATTGGCGGAGCTCAGCAGACATAGCTGTTCAGGGAGTTCCCTGGGTCTAGTAGGAAGGACAACAGGAATAGGGTTCGGCAAGCTGTTCTTTTCATCTTTCCCAATCACAGTTTCTAGCAAACTCTGATCATTCAGGTGTCTCAATCCCCTTCGCCTTTCTACAGTCTTGCCCTAGCAGATCCCTGAGGCCCCGTAGTAATGTACATGATTTTCCACAGCCACTTTTTTCTGAGACACAGTCTCATGTAGCCCACGCTGGCCTCCAAGTTGCTGTGTAGCCTAGGATGACTTTGAACTTCTGATTCTTCTGCCTCTCTACTTGCTGTTATCTGAGGTTTACATCCCCATACCTGGTTTATGTGGTGCTGGGGACTGAACCCAGAGCTTCATGCATGCTAGGCAAGTACTCTACCAACTAAGCTAAATCCCTAGCCTACCATGTGTAGGTGGAAGACATTCAAAACGCCAAGTATTCTATTGTTTTGTCCCCATCTGCAGTGCTTAATGGGAAATTCTGATCAGATAGCTCCATTATTCTGAAATTCTTAAGGAGGAAATAAAAGAAAAATACAATTAAAGAAATAGTCTCCATCTGTGGGTACTGGTGCTTGGAGAGGGTCAGGGGCTCCATGTGTCTTATAAAGCTCACTCCAGTCAACTAAGTGTGGCTGGCTGAGCTTCTTTGAGTGACATTTTAACAAAATGCACAAAGGATGGGCCAGCGCCAGAGTGAGTGGGAGGGCTGCTCATGTGGCCAGGCAGAGGCAATGAGCTGGAATTGGAACCAGGTAGGAGGAGGCCCTTGGAAAAAGAGACCCGTGCCGTGGATGGCCGGGGGCGGGGGATGGGATGACACCACGATGATGACAAAGATGATGAGGATGATGACACTTCTGAGCCAAATGCCAAATCAGGAAATGCACTTTTTAAATACTTTAGATGTTGCAAACAAGAAACCTATAGAAATATAATTCACAGCTTCTTGAACCATGGGTTGAAGAAGAAAATTTTACAATAGTCAACAGTCTCTGAACTTGACACAACCAAAAATTAGTTCAAAAATCAAATGTGTAGCAAACCTAAAAGTGTCTGGGGCAGCACTGGCTGGGGTTGCATGGCTGGACTTCACTGCAGTCTTAGTTCTGAGCACACAGCACACACACTCTGCACTGTGCCTGCCATCATATCACACACCAAACACCGCCTGAGGTCCTCAGCTCAGGATCAAAACAGCTGCATGTTGAGGCTTGCAGTGTCTTACTATACATGCAGAATCTTCTGCTGCTACCAAAACATAAAGCTTAACTACAGAAAATAAAGACTTACTTTTTTTTTACTATAATTATTCTTTACCACCTAAGTATCAAGTTAGTGTATTTGGGGGTTGGATTATGATGCTCCAGTGTTTGGTTTTAAAAATTGCTACTTGAGGGGCTGGAGAGATGATTCAGCAGTTAAGAGCACTGACTGCTCTTGCAGAGGACTCGGGTTCGATTCCCAGCACCCATATGGCAGCTATGAACTGTCCTTATCTCCAGTTCCAGGGGAATCTGAAGCCCTCTTCTGACCTCCGTGGCATTGCACGACATGTGTGCACTCACATACATGCAGGCAATACACTCATACACATAAAATAAAAATAATAAAATAAAATATTTTAAAATTGCTATTTGAGTTCCTGGCTTGAGTTTCATAACATAAATGAAATTTGCTTAATTTTAGGACAAAATTTCTGAGAGGGACCAAAATGTACTTCTGCCATTTGTACTAGGTATTTATTGGAAGCTGAGTTTCAGCATTGACAATTATAAAATGAAAATATTGATCACCTCTGAAAAAAATCTTAAAGGTGCTCTACCTCCTGTAGTGTCAAATACTCAGCCAAGATTAAATTCTTTATGTAAAACTAAACAAGTATATGCATCTCATTAATATGCAAATTTGCTCTCATCTCTAATGGTAAAAGTATATACATATATGTCAAAATTTGTTTAAAAGTAAATTTCTTTGCAGTTTATTACCAGTAATGTTTGATCTGTACGCCTATTTTATATACCTATATACCCAGTTATAGAAATTTTTCTCAGATGAAAGGGTCATAAGTAGAAAAAGTTTAAGAAACTGTGCTCTAATTTAACTCAATCCTACATAAAAGAGAAAAATATAAACACTTGCCATAACCTATTGTGACAAAAAAGTGTGGTATTGCCACAGAGTTGAGTGACCAGATCAATGTAGAGATCAGTGCAGTCAAACTAGTGTCACCCATATGTGAAAACTGATACATGATGGGTTATACCTCAGGCCAGTGGTCTAACATGAGCAATTTAATAGATGTTTCTGAGATAACACATTAGTCAGACAGGAAAAATAAGTTGGATCCCTACCTCATATCATACAGAAACAATCATGTCAAGTATTTGAGAAACTTGAAAATGAAAGGAGAAACATTTCCCCCACGCTGGAGTTGAACTCAGGACCTCCTACATGCAAGGTAAGTGTTCTACTCTTGACCTATTGAGCTATATCCTCAGCATTCTACATTTAAAAATGATGGTTTTGTTGTTGTTGTTGTTGTTGTTTGGTCTTTTTGAAACAGGGTCTCTCTGTAGTCCCAGCTGGCCTGGATCTCACTATGTAGACCAGGCTAACCTTGAACTCACAGAGATCCACCTGCCTCTGCCTCCCAAGTGCTGGGAATATGTATTTTATTTTTATGTGTATGAGTGTTTTGCGTGACTATAAGTAGGTGCACCATGTGCATGTAGTTCCTAAGGAGGCCAGAAGACAGAGTTGGATCTCCCGGAACTGGAATTACAGTTATTACTCACCATGTGGGTGCTGGGAACTGAACCCAGAACCTCTACAAGAGCTAGAAGTGCTCTTAACCCCTGAGCCATCTCTCCAACCTCCAACCCCACCCCCCTTTCTATAAATTTTGAGACAGTCTTATAAGTTGCCAAGGCTGATCTTAACCTGGCTCTGTAGCCAGACAGGTCCTGAACTTTTGATTCTCCTGCCTCAACCTCTCCAGTAGCTGGAATTTCAGGCAGGCACTACTTTCTTGACTTACTTTACACATATGCTGTCAGAAAATAACTCTCTGGCTGGAATAGGTGTTACGGGAGATTCCATTACATGTGTCTGCTGCAACATGTGCTTGGGGTTGGGGGTTTACTTTTGCCAGTGACAAAGAGTAAGAAAGGAAACCCAAGTTCTGAAATGCCTTGTGAAGAATCCCCAAAACCTGGGTTTCTCATCCTGCCTCTCATAGAGTCAGGGCCTGTTCTGTCATGTCTCCAAAGTGAATGCCTAACAGTGCACTTCGGTCCCACCCTGCAAACACATGGTCCTGAGCCAGACCCACAGGAGCTGCTCATAGGCATGTTGAATGAAGACATGGACTCTAGTGATCTTCAGCTAGGCTTGAACTCCCATTTCCTAAGTTAACGCAGTAAACTAGTTTACAGCAGCCCCTCCCGCCAGCCTTGCCCAGGTGTTAAGCTGGACAGAGTTCCCAGGGCTGCGGGGTGTGCAAGGAGAGCTGTCCACGATTGCAGAAGCGGAGCGGGGGCATATCATAAATAGAAAATCCGGCGGCGAGAAAGGGTCCCATTCCCACAGGCCAGCCACTGAAGCGCAGGGCTGGACCCGAGCCAGAGTCACAGGACACCGAACCCTCCATCCCACAGCTCCCAGCAGCGCGAGGCCCGGCCGGTGCCCGCCGGTTTCCGCTACCCGCCGCCCGGGCCAGCAGGAGGCACCGCCCAGTTGGACATGTTGGGCGTCTCGCTCCGGGTGCGTTCCGGGAGCCGCCGGGCGGGAAGGGAGCGGGCGCGGAGGGCGGCCAGGCCGGGAACATCGGCCTGGGCTCGAAGCCGCCAGGGAGCAGGGCAGCCATGGCCTGGCGAGCGCACCCGGGCGGCCTTCCAACTGTGGAGGACACCCGGCCTCTGGGTGGGACGACCGGGCAGTAGACCTTCCCCGAGCCAGTCTGGAAAGGAAACAACCCGCCCTGTGCCGCTTGCGGGGCGGAGCTGAGGGCGGTGGCAGGGAGGCTGGCCACTTCTCTGCAGGTGAGTACTGGCCTCTGCCTGCCCTGGAGAGCGCTGGTGAGTGTCCTGCCCTAAGTCTGGGAGCATCCTCTGTTCAGAGCTACCCACCGGATCAGAAGTGAGTGTAGGGAGTCCAGAGAGCCCTGTCTCCAGCCTTACTGTCAGCCACTGACACCTTGGGAGGGTACCAGACTCATCTCCCTCTTTAGTGCTGTTCTGGGGGCTTCATTCCAGACCACCTGTTAAACGAATGGAATGTCACCATACCTCCCCAGCCTGTGCACCTTCGGCTGCAGCCAGGATGAAGGTAAATGGGCAGAGAGGGCCTGAAGACACCGGCTCTCTGGGGTAGGTGTCAGGCCTGGTCCAAGCAGCCTGTCTGACCAGCAGCTAAGCTCTTTGCCCTCTGGTGTCTATAGACTCAGCCTACCTTCTTCCTTAGCACGTTTCCACCTGCTGGTCCATTGAGACAGAGCCTGGAAATGGCATCAGCTTGAGAAGGATGTGCGGTGCCTGGAGCTGCCCTGCCCAGAGGGTGAAATCTGAGGTCTGTCCTTACCTGTGTCTTCCAGGACCCATCCCTGCTGCTGGCCCTCACTGTCATCGGGGCCACTGTGATCCTGATGGCCCTCAAGAAGATGAAATCTAGGAGGAGAGAGTTTATCACCTTACGGGACCCTGCCGCCAAATACCCACTGCCCTTGATTGAAAAGGAGGTAGTGGGTTAGCCGTAGTCTCCTGAGGTTGGACTGAAAAGTGGTGGGAATGCCAGCTGGCTATTTGACATTTAGTGGGCCCAATGGAGGACCTTTCCCAGCATGTGAGCTGCCCAGCAAGACTCAGAGAGCTAACAGAACCTGCCTGTTTTGTTTTACTAGCAAATCAACCATAACACCCGGAGGTTCCGCTTTGAACTACCTTCACCGAACCATGTCTTAGGGCTTCCTGTAGGTGAGCATTTCTAGGACTGAGCCTTTGGTAGCTAGGTACCTGTCAGAAATGTAGTTGCATGGTCATGGGATATGGAGGGTGAGCTGATATTATCTTCCTGAACCATGTGTGCTGAGGGAGATAAGCAGAAAGACTTGAGGACTATGTCTTCCCACCCATTCTTGTTTCATCTGGCCGGTCACAAAAGTGGCACCTTGAAGAGCACTGAAAAGAAGTAGGCCTAGAGTCAAGTCTAAAATCTCACTGAAGGCTCCTGGCTAGGCATTTTTAGGCCTGTCTGCCTACTTCAATTATAGTGAGGGTAGAGTAACAGATGGATGTGAAAATTTAGAAAATACAGCATGTTATGTATCTAGGAGGGATTAGAAAAACAGATGTCCCCCAAATGTGCAGGAAATCATGAGGCAGGTGTCCTGAGTGGATGGATTATCTGAGGGGGCCTCAGACCCACACAAGGGGGCACTCTAGTAGCCCTAGCCACCCTGAGATCTGACTTGTCCCATTTCCAGTTTATTAGTAACACCTCTAAATGGTGAGTCTGTTTTCTTGAGGTGGAAAGGCCTCAGGGCCCAGGGGACCAGAGAACCTTTATATAGACAGCTGGTACTGCTTGCATCCCAGTGAAGAGCCTAATCTAAGGCCTGCCTGCAGACAAAATCCTGACCTCAATTCTGTCAGGTGACCAAATAACAATACCAGGCAGCCTACTGGGCCCCTGAGTCTGCTTGCTGTGCCTCATTCCTCTGTGCACGAGAGTGCTGTGTCACTCAGTCTCCATCCCTCTGCCTGTCCTGTTGCCAGGAAGCTTTAAAAGCATGCCCTTGCAGAAAGAATTTCTTAGAAGCTGTTCTGACCCTCTCTCCCAGGTAGAAGCAGTACGGTTAGAGGGACAAGGTGATTTAGTGGCCTCTAAGACTCTGATAGGAAAATATGATGAAAGCTGGTGCTTCAAAGCTCAGTGGAGGAGAAGCTGCTTAGAGATGGCACGCTAGGGACCCGGGGGACAGTTCCATTTTGTGTGGGATGCAGTGACTGACTGGCTGCGTTAGAAGGAGCTTTTCCAGGTTCCTGGTTTCAAGTGAGCTATCAGAAGGAAGCTGTGCTTCAGGTCTGTGTTCCTGAGTGGCCCTGGTGCCCATTCAGGCAATGACCAGTGAGTTTGCACCTCAGGCTCCAGAACTCTTCAAAGACTTAGGCTGCTGCCTCCAGCACTCCCCTTCCACTCCTTCCTCCTCTTTACTTCCTGTCCTTTCTTCTCTTTCTTTGATTTCTATCTGCATTCCCATAGTCTGGTGACTAATTCCCTAAACTTTTACTTTGTCCAAATCTAGCCCAGAGCATCTCTTCTCTTTAGCTCTTGGCATCTCTTGGTGTTAACTCCTCCCCTCAGTACTAGCTGCCTTGGTCTCTGAAGTCTTCACTCAGATCTGACAGAAGCCTCAGTAGACCTTCCTTGATCTGACATTGGGCTGTAGTCTCAACTCTTAGGTCTTTGGCCTTCTGGGGCTAAAGAATTCTGCCCTTGATGGGGAGAAGACACAGTTCAAAAATTCCTGTCACCTTTCAGCAAAGCCATGAGCCAGGATGGCACACAGTGTTGATTTATTTGGAGTATGTTTGCATAGATCCTGGGGCCCTGCAGTAGTGATGAGGCTAAGCCCTGCTCCATGTGGGACACAGATGGGGGTATTTGTGACTTCTTTCCAGGCCCCAATGGTACATCCAGGTTAGGAGGAGTCAAGTTTGTGAAGGCAACAATTTTCTTTAAATAGAAAACATTATTTTCTGATTTGTTTGTTAAGACAAGGTCTTGCTCTCGGCCCAGACTGACTTAGAACTCATTACATAGCCCAGGGTAGCTTTGAATTCAAGGCAATCTTCCTTTTCCCTGACTCCCAAGAGCTAGGATTACAGGTGTGAGTCACCTCTCCTGGATCCTTTCTGATATTTTTGATATTCACCCTCCACCTTTAGTTAACTTTTCTTACTCAACTAATTATACTGTGGTCATGGCTGGACAGGTGTCTCACTCCTTCCCTCCCAGATCCCTGTGCATGCTAGGTCAGCACTACCACTGAGCTACACACTCAGCTCCATCACTCCCATGCTATAGATGAAGAGTTAAAGTGACCAAGGTCAGTACATGGAGCATCCATGCACACTGAGTTTAGGCTGTTTTCCTGCTTGTCCCATATTAGATCCTGATATTCACCCCCTATATTGAACCTCAGTCCTTTGGGGGATTCCTGAGTACTATTTAGATGGACCATCATCAGACTTCACATGTGATGCATTTTCTGTAGGTAACTATGTTCATCTCTTGGCCCAAATTGATGATGAATTGGTGATCAGGGCTTATACACCTGTCTCCAGTGATGACGACCAAGGCTTTGTGGACTTAATTATAAAGGTAAACAATGCCCACTTTTCCCAGCTGCCTGGAGCCACAGGTGTACTGCATGTGGCGGAGAGGCGGGTAATACTTTTTCTCTGAGGGGACTCAAGCTCTGAGGGTTTCCAATAGTCTTATTTAACAGCAGTGCTACAGTTAACCCTGTGGTATCTTGAGGGATTACTGTGATAGTTTTTAAATTAATTTACTTATATTTTATGAATATGAGTGTTTTGCCTTCATGTATGTTAGTGCACCTATGTGTGCACTATGTGTGCAACGCCCATGGAAGCCAGAAGGTGTCAGATCCCTGGAACTGGTGTGGCATATGGCTGTTAGCCGCTATGTAGGTGCTAGAAATCCAACCCAGGTCCTCTGCAAGAGCAGCCAGTGCTCATAACCACTAAGCCATTTCTCCAGCACCCTATATGATGGTTAGTTTTGTCAGCTTGACACAATCTAGAATCACCTGGAAAGAGAGTCTCAATGACGGATTGTCTAGATCAGGTTGGCCTGTGTGCATATCTGTGGGGAACTGTCTTGATTGTGTTAATTGACGTAGGAAGATCCAGCCCACTGTAGGTGACACCACTCCCTGGGCAGGGAATCCCTAACTGTTTCAGCATAGTGAGCTGGGCACTATTAGACCTGCATATGTTCATTTCTCTGTTCTTGACTATGGATGTTATGTGACCAGCTGCTTCAAGCTCCTGCCTTGAATTCCCCATAATGATGGACTGTAACCTGGGATTGTGAGCTAAAAGAAACCCTTTCTTTCTTCCTTCAGTTTGTTTTTGTTTCTTTGTTGTTGCTATTTGTTTGTTCCAGTTAGGGTATTTTATCATACAATGGAAATGAAACTAAAACAACTGCTAACAGTGACTAACTTCCAGTGGCAAAGGCACTTTCCACCTGTGTGCAGCTGGAATAAAAGGCCTGTGAGTATGAAGGCCATGCTGCCTTGCTTTTCAGATCTATTTCAAAAATGTGCACCCCAGGCATCCTAAAGGAGGGAAGATGACTCAGTACTTGGAGAACATGAAAATTGGAGACACCATCCTTTTTCGAGGCCCAACAGGGCACCTGTTTTACCATGGGTCAGGTACGAGGGGCTTCCCAGTGGGGTAACTGAGGGGGAAGACTCTTGCAGTAGTTTCATTGTTCTAGAACACTCCTCATCCCTGCAGCTCATGGGCTTGTCTTCAAGTCTTCACAATTCATTCCTATGAAATCATGTCTAACTCCTGTCACCACTCACACTCACTTCACAGGATCCCAAGTGTCATCTAGGATGTCCTCACTGAGTCCCGGCACAGATACATTAAAGGTGCCTGCTGATGTGAATGGTGGAGGGAGTCTACACTGCTTGGTTTTCCAGATTCACCAAGTACTTCCTCATTCACTGTTGCCAGGGAAGGGGCTCTGGGATGCACCATGTAAACTTCAGCTTGTCTTTAAGAGAAGACTCAGTCATCCCCTAAGAGACAGAAGATTCTGTTTTCCACTGTGTACACTGGTATACCAAGGTGGTGATTCTCTGGCTTAAAATGGTACCACCTGTCCCTTAGCTGTGTTGCCTCCTAGGACTCCCATAGAAAGTCAGCCATCTTTTGCAGGCTGCCAGATAAGAGCTGCAGAAGTTAGGAGTATCTTCTATATTTCTAGGGAAGCTTACAATCAAACAAGACAAAGCAAGCAAGCCTGAAAAAAAACTGGTTCGTCACTTGGGGATGATTGCCGGGGGCACAGGTAAGAAATTTCTGGGGCTTCACCCACAGGGTGAACCCTAAGACCAGACTGACTTTGGAGTTGTTTGATCCTAGAAGGGGTGATCTGAGAGATTCCTCCCCTAGCTATGGTGGTGGGAATGTAGATTCAGTGATGATATTGGCCAGGCTCCTCTGCAACCATCATGGCTGCCTGGAAGCCATGGGGAGCCTCTCTAGTAGGTTTGTGAGGTCAGGCTGGGCATTTTGCTCACTGGTTCCTGAGCAGTGGTAGACCCACTTCCGGCCTGAGTCTCCCTATCCCTTGAGAATGAATATCTGAAAAAAAGAGAACATCCTCAGTGAGACACGCAGGGCATTAGGCACCGTCACAGACAGTTTTAAAATCATCATATTGACTGGCCATTAATTCTGTTATTCAAGTGAGGACATGAAATAGCTCACAAAATACTCTTTCCCTCTTGCCATATGAAAAGGAAAAGAAGGACTGGGTATGTGGCTGAGTTGGCACAATATTTCCCTAGCACGCATAAGGCCCTGGGTTCAATCCCCAGCAAGTCATGAAACCAGGCATGGCAGGATAAACCTGTAATTCCAGAACTTGGGAAGATCAGAAGTTCAGAGTCATCCTCAGCTACATCATGAGTTTGTAGCAAGCATGGGATGCATGAGATATGTCTCAAATGGGAAAAGGGTTGATTTGCTCTTGAATTAGAAAGGAACCCCAAAATGAAAAGCTCTGCCCCTACTTTGTTTTCTAGGGATGTGATAAAACACTGACCAAAAAAATTGGAGAGGAAAATATACAAACCCATTTATTTCATTTTACACTCTATAGTCCATCATCAAGGGGAGCCAAGGCAAGAACTCAAGGCAGGGACCTGGAGGCAGGAACTGAAGCAGAGACCATGGAGGAACACTGCGTACTGGCTTGCTCCTCTGGCTTGCTCAGTACCTTTCTGACACAGCCCAGGCCCACCTGTTTAGGAATGGAACTGCCCACAGTGAGCTGGGCCTTCCTATATCAATTAGTAGTCAAGAAAATGCCTCACAGGCATGGCCACAGGCCAGTCTGATGGAGGAACTTCCTAAACTGAGGTTCCCTCTTCCCAGGTGTCTCTGTCAAGTTGACAAAAACTAACCAGCACAGGGGTTGAAGTGATAAAGGCAGAAGCAAGGACAAAGAAAACTATTAAATCATTGCAGGCTAGGGACTGGCTCATTGGCGATGGGAGAAAACGTTGGCCTACCCACTGTGTTCCAGGCATCACACCCATGCTGCAGCTCATTCGACACATCATCAGAAACCCCAGTGACAGGACCAGGATGTCCCTCATCTTTGCCAACCAGGTCAGTTCTGCCGAGTCAGCCCAGAGCTTGCCACAGTAGCACGGAATGTTCCCTGAGCTGGGGCTCTGCATTCATTCCTCTCCGTTCACTGGGCCACATGCCTGTGGCGGTGGGAGGAGAGTGTGCTCCACAAGGCCACTGGCATCTGGAGCTGAGGCTAGGTCTATTCTTTTGTTTAACTCTTCTGTCTTTCCAATCAGCCCACCCTAAGCACTAAGATTTCTCCTTCCTTAATATATAGTTCTCTGATTTTCTGAGTATTAAATCATGGATGCTCCTGGTGGGAATTTTGGGAAATTCATAAAAATATAAATATTTTTACCTGTTGTCTTTTTCCCTATAGATACTATGTGTTTATATGTACACTACACACTCATACACATACATCCATAGTGTGTGCATATAGTTTTCACTTAGCATTACCACATGGACATTTTCTTTTAATTAGCTTTAAATATTTACACTATAATGAATGTCAGGTTTACTATCATTTACTAAAGCTTCCACATTTAGATTCATTTCAGATTTCAGTTACAAATGATAAGTAATGAAATGATAAATAATTGGGCTGGACCTGATTGTTTTCATTTTCCAAAACAACTCCAGAAGTAGAATCACTGGGATAGATAAGGAAGACAATTCATGAAGAGTTTTATGGTCAAAGGCCTGGGAGCCTTGGCTCCCTTTCCCAGATGTGAATCCAGGTCTATCTCTGGGATCACAGCACTGTCCTCGACAGTCTCTTAGCCCCTCCTTCCTACAGAGACCAGGGCCTGCACTAAGCCTGGGTCAGTTGTGCCTGGGAGGCTTAGTCCCTAGTGTGGATGCAGGGAAGTGAGTGGGGACTCTGGCATGAAACCAGTGGTCTATGCAGCCAGTCTTTCCAGCCAGAGGGCAGCCATGCTGTTGGTATCTCTATGTAAGCACCCCCGCCCCCAGCAGCTCTACATGAGAGAGAGGGTTAGGTGTACAGGAGCAGCAGAACCCTTCTCTGTCCTGGAGTCTGTGGTGAGCTCTCAAGCTAGGATTGAGGCAGCTCACTGTACTGACCTGTGTGTTCAGTCAGGGGACATATGGGCTGTTCCTAGAAGGGCCTTTGGAATGTTGCTTCTTTTCTAGACAGAAGAAGATATCTTGGTGAGAAAGGAGCTTGAAGAAATTGCCAGGACGTACTTCTTCCAGTTCAACCTGTGGTACACCCTGGACAAGCCTCCTGCTGGTATGAACGACATTGCCTTCACTTCTTTGGGTCAGCCCTACTCCTTCACCCACCTAAGGACTAGACTCTGGGTTGGTTTGTTTTGTTTTTTAGATTGACTCCTTAGGAGGTTAAGCCTAGGGCACTTGGTCTTCAGAGACAATGTAAGAATCTGAGTGGGCGATTGGGATAACCTGTTTGTAAAAAGCAGCCAAGGGCAGGTGGCTAAGACCTCTTATACACTCCACACACTGCACTGAACAAAGGAGGATATGGAGCCATCAGGCTACCCTGAACCCCAGCCTCCCACAGCCACCAGACACTGCATCTAATATGACCACTGGTTCTTTAACCACTCAGAATGCTCTTTACCACTAGTCACATTTAAACAGTAGTCCTTATATGCAGACCCTCACCCAGCAACTGCAGCCTCAGCCAACACCCCAGCAACTATCATGCACCCTGACAGCTCCACTCTACTCAATGCTGACAGCAGAGAGCCATCAACCTGGGCCCCTGAGTCCCAGGCTCGAGCCTAGAATCTGGAGTAAATAGCACAGAAGGCTAGGAACCCTCATATCCTCTTCTTGGGTTTACTGTGGGGAACAGCCTTTGTGGAGCAGTCTGGTTTCCAGCATCAGGGATGAGCACAGAGCCTATGGTTCTTTCTTGCTTTGCTTCACTTCAGGCTGGAAGTACAGCTCAGGCTTTGTTACTGCCAACATGATCAAGGAGCACCTCCCTCCTCCTGGGAAGGCCACACTCATCCTGGTGTGTGGCCCACCACCCCTCATCCAGACGGCGGCTTATCCCAGCTTGGAGCTGCTAGGTTATACTAAGGACATGGTTTTCACCTACTAATATCCCCTGTGGTATTAGTAAGTGGGTGGGTCCTTCTCCTCTGCTGCGGAGTGAGTCTGGCTTCACCATGTTAAACTGGGGTATTGTCAGAGTGCCTCTTCATGCACCCTGGGATGTGCACATTGGTGCTTTTCTCTTGGGTGTGGGTCCAAGAAGCATTTAAGGAGCTGGAGACAAAGTGGTTTGTGAGCTTCCCGGCTTGGATGCTGGAAAGAGCTCCCTGGTATATCTTTCTCCATGAGTGAAATAAACTGAAGTTCTCTATAAATAGCCCATAAATCATGGATCTGTGGGGAATATACTGGGGTTCAGAACTAGTAAAAGGGCCTGACTAGAATTCCAGTAGGATCCAAGTGTGGGTTACATCAACTCCTCCTCTTGAACACTCTCTGGTCAGACTTACGAGAGGGCACAGGCACCCTCCTTGTGTGTTCTTCCTTTCTCTGTGGGACCCTTTCAGACAGGGTGATTTAAAACACACATAATGGCAGTAAGCTCAGAGTAACCTCTTCCAGACTCAGCAGACAGAGACAGGGGATGGGGGACATTTATATTTTAGCATCCTCTAAGTGACAGGCTTCATCCTGGCACTGGGGCGAGGTAGAAGGTGTTAAGAGTTACAGAACCTCAATTTGCAAGTCTCCAGAAGCTCTCCCACATCCTATCCTTCAATACAGATTGAGACCACTACTGTCACCTGCTGTTCAGAGCAAGAACAGCTGCTCTGCTACCTCAGTGGGTATGGCTAAAAAGCCAAAGGTCCTGGGGTTTTTTTCTTCAGTTTCAGGTGCCAACAGGCTGCCACATGTTCCCAGGCCATTTATCCAGTGGGCAGCAGAGATGGCTTCTCCTGGGACTGTTTAAATCTGAGTCATTTTCCTTTTCATAACAATTGGCATAACTGCAGCAGTATTGGAACTCTGTGCTGGGTTTGTTACTCAATATACATGTATGAGGGAAAGAGGCAAGAGAGGCAGCAGAGAGAGGACTGTGACTCTAGGAAGCTCCACAACACAATCATATCGCATCCACAGGTGGCCACACACAGGGACAGCCTCACAGAGGACTCTTTGAGGGGCACACAAAGCTTGATTTACCTACTTGTGCTCAGCCTATCCTCAGGGAACCCCCTACTTAGGGAAAGATACTCTTGGTACTTTGGCTACATTGCCCAGCATGGCCTTGAACTTACTCTGTAGCCCAGGCTGTCGGCTAACTCCCAATCCTCCTGCCTCAGCCTCCTGAGTAGCTGGGATTACAGGCATGTGCTACCTACCAGGCCCAGCCGCAAAGCCTTTCTCAGCTGGGTTGTTCCAGCCTCATCAGATTTTTCCTTCCCTGGGCTTCCCACTTGCCCTCATCTTCTAGCCTAATGGTTCTTAGTGGGGGTTGGGGGATTTGATTCTCCAGGAGACATTTGGCAAAACCTGTAAATATTTGGGTGCTGCTGACATCTGCAGGGAAGAGACCAAGGATTGCCCATCAGTGGGGGCCTGATCAAAAAGCAATGGAAGACAGGGACTGGCACTCACTCAGACCATACAGGCTACCATGGTTCAGTGGGTTTGTGCAGAGAGCAGTATGGGGCAAGGTAGGACGGCACATAGCCTCCAGGGGCCCTGAGATGGTCAGAGTCAGAGGCAGACAGCACCACAGGGTGGCATTAACTTGAATTGAACCAGAATAAAGGCTTCCTGAAGCCTAAAGAGCAGCATCTGCACCGGGCTTCAGCGGGCAGTTCTGGCTGCAAGGAGGCTGGAGAAACAAATGGACGCCACAAGGAGGGCAGGGCTTGAGCCACAGTCTGCGGATGGAGCAAAGACTAAGCAGTAGGCTCACAAAAGATGATGCAATGACAGAATGGGTGCCCGTCTGTGAGGATGCTGCAGCTGAGGGGCTCAAAGCAGAATGGAGACAGGGTGACAGGAATGGAGAATGTCTGCAAGGTCCAACTGAAGTAAGGGGCCCAGGAGAAAACCAGGGGCAGTGATCAGAGTGGAACCAGAGCAGTCATGGGCTGGGAAAGGACAGTGACTCGGGGCTTGGCGCTGCCTCTTTTGGAGACATTAGAGAGGCTTCTCTGAGAAGATGCCTTTGGAAAATGTTTAGTTTGAAGACCTTCCACTGTAAAGGTGGGGGGGTGCTGTTTGATCATTGTACTTGAAGCTGGCAAGGGAGTGTTTGTGCCCTGTGTCACTTTGGGTGTCTTGGGGACTTCTAAGATACTGGGAGATCCAGCAGATAGACACCCATTGCAGATGCACGTGGATGGAAGCTGCTGGGGTCAGGGGTATGGACAGTGCTCAGGGACCAGACTCGAGGACCTGATTCCTGGGAATGAATATACATGCTTCCTTCTGTGAGTGGCCCCAGAGACCTCCCAACATTATTCCACCCAACCCAGTCACTACAGAGCATCCAGAACAATTTCACAACTGTTTTCTTTGGCAGCAGTTTTTATGAACTAACAGCTCATCCCCTTTGCTGTAAGACCCTCCCTGTTGTCAGCATGAGCAACAGGAGCCATTGGACATCTGTGCCTTTACACATCATTTCACTCTCCCCAGTGGTCTGCAGTCTATAAATAAAAGTACAAAATGTAGAGAAGCTGTTGTAAAGAGCATGGTTGGGGACACAGAGACACCTCCTGGATACCTGTCCCTCCCTCTGCTTTGCTTCTGTCATGACCCACATCCGAGATGGCCTGCCAACCCCATGTGGGCTCTGCAGATGGCTATGTGCCAGCTCTCCATTGAGGCAAACACTCAGGATGCCTCTCTGGGCTCTCGGCCACGAAGAATGTCCTTTCCAGTCATCAGTCAGGGGCAACCAGTTGAGTCATTCAGCAGTTGGTCCTGGCTCAGCAAAGTCTGAAAGGACACAGCCAAAGAGGGCAGTTTAACAGACCATGGGCCAGTGCTGCCCTGTGGCAGTTCCCTGAGCAAAGGGATGCTGGGTGTGGCCTATGTCTGACACCACTAACCTGCAAGTTCATGCTGTCCCAGAAACCATGAGCATTGAATAAGAACAGACAGTACCGTTAAGATAAAAAACTGAGCATGAAGGTTGGTGGTGTAAACGAGCTTGCCTGGCATGCACAAGATTCTAGGTTTGGTCCCCACCACTACAAAAGCAGAGTAAAGAAAAAGATGAACCATTCATCTTAGAGGTAAACTTCCTCCTTCAAGGCTATCAAAGGTCTTTTCGAGATCAAAGGGCATGATTATGTAGACATTTTGGTTCATGAGCCAAGAGAAAACATTGATTGCATTAAAGTGATCCTACTTAAGATACAGGGAGACCCTTATTGTCTTTAGACAGTCTTCTAACTGTGCCTCAGTAGATAATTAAAGTATATTCACAGAGACATTAGTGATGACAGACTCTAGGGATCCCAGGCTCAAGAATGGGATGGCCAGGAACTGACAGGCCCTGGAAGATGTGGGGCCTCAAACACAGGTCTGAGCTCTGTAGTTGTCCATTTCCTGCCAGCTCTAGTCTGCCTGTGTGACTTGCAAGGGGACTGCTTTACAGATAACCACAGCCAGGCTCAGAGAGAATGGCACACCCAAAGTCCTAGAGCTAGCAACAGGCAGAACAGGTATTTGAATCATGTCTAGCTCCCTCCAAAGCCTTCCCTTGAGATCCCATAAACTGGTTTGTCTTGGGTATGGCAGGATCTGCTAGCCTGTAAGGCATATCCATGATGTCAGAGCAGGGGTAGGAATGCATGAATCTTGTGGGCAAAGAGAGCAAGACAGTTCCCACTGTGCCAGAGGTGAGGTCTGGGCTTTGGCCTGGCTACACAGGTGACCCACAGCATCTTTGCTTATTCACCAGCTTCATGACCAGGAAGAGGATCTAAGACCTTTCATGTTCCTGCTGACTCTATGAGGTCTGTGAGCATTCCGATGCCCCTCGGTTGCTAAGGGTTCAATAGCAGGCCAATGGAGGTCCTTGGCCTGCTCTCTGCTCAGGGTCTGCTTAAGTACTAACTCCCCACCCAGAATGATCCTTTCCTCTCCCTTGGCCTCAAACAACACCCCACCAAGCTCACTGGGCTTCCCTGGCCAGTGGAGAGAGGGTCCAAGTCCTACCGTGAGGCGGTGGATGTCTTGGGAAAGGAGGCCTATCTGCATCACAGTGCCTTCTGAAGGTGCCATCTGTAAAACGGGCATCAGCCTGGTCAACAAACATGGATGAAACTTGTGGTTTGCAGAGGCAGCATGCAAAGCCTGTCCTGCTCAGGCCTCGCTTCCCTGGAGGGATGAACAAGGAGTCCAGGCCCCAAGCAGGGGCAGATGGTGGGGCACATGAAGGTTCTGTTTCTGAGAAAGGTGGCCAGTGTCCTGCACTGCATGCACATGCTCTCCTGAGGTCACACTCAGCATCAGCACTCAGGACCAAGAAGCAGGGTACAGGCAGAGCCTCTCAGAAGCAGCCTTCTGCCCGTTCAGTGGCCCAGCTATTTCCAGGAGCAGAGAACACCAGGGATGAAGGCCTCCAAACTGATGGACAGAATGACAATTTCTAGGTCCCAACAGGACCCCAGCCACCAACGTTGAGTATTGGAGGACATCTTCAGGAGGCTGCTGCCTCTTCATGCCACGGGAGCCTCCCTCCCCGCCTTCTTTCTCAGGTGCTGCTGGTCTCCCCTTCTTCCTTGTAGACAGTGCAAGCTTGAAAGCATCCTCTGTAGATTTAAAAGGCATCAAGTGCAACCCCAGGTAGGTGGGAAAACTCAGGTCCATCAAGGGAATGGCACTTGCATGAGGCCACACAGAAATTTAGTAGCAAAACAATTCCATGCAAGGTTTGAAAATAGGTGCATGCAGTCTGTCATCAGGACATAAAAAGGAAAAAGGTACGAAACCCAGTCTGACCTGCTCTACAACAGCAATGGCCAGGCATTAGCTCAAGGAGCACTACCATTCATTGGCCCTAGGTACCAGAACCAAATACCAGCATTGCCATCAGGCAAGCTCATGCCCAAATCTCTCACCAGCTGGACTTCAGGGGATGTAGGGCCCTCGGGGACTAGGCCATGTCTGAGTCGCTGCTGGCATAAAGCAGTAGCTCTTAAGCATCACCTGCATCTGGGGCAGAAACATAGTGCCACAATGGGGCCTTTGGTCCTGCCCCAATGGCTGTGACATTGCCACTGTTCCATAGATGATGCCCAAGGGACCCAGAAAGAGCCAAACACCTGCCAGTCGTGAGCTGGAATCTCCAGAGCAGGAGCTCAGACTGGCACGGCACACGTCTCTTCCCAGTCTCCAGCCAGAGAGAGCCCATCTGGAGTGCCCATTATTAGCCAGTCAGCCTCTAAATCAAGAGGCCAGCTCTGTTTGAGCTCTTCCAGGAGACAGACCATCCTCCAAGAGTTACAAGAAGCGGGAAAGACATGTGAAAGAGCTCTCTTGCCAGAAAGGCTGCTGGTTGGTCTCCCCACCCTTCACCAGGAGCTGCTGAAATGGAAACCAACCTAGGGTCTGTGTGACAGACGTGACCTCCAGTCAGCTTGTGCTTGACACCCAAGCTGGTTCGCTGCTTCACACAGGGAGACAGGGCCAGAGGCAAGGAGGTCACAGGCCTCCTCTGAAGGCCTATGGATACTCTATCCCCCTTGCTGAATCCTGAGCTACAGGTCCTTAAATCCTGCAGTCAGGAGCACCCTATTTCCAGCCATGCCTGGCTTTCTTCCCCCAACAAAGTTAAAGACATTTCGTACTGTTTACTTTCTATATAAATAGTTTTTATTATCAGAAAGAAGTGACCGCCCCTGTAGTAAGGCACAACCAAATTACACCGTCACCACGGCCTAAATCCCCACTGTCCTTTTATTCTCAGACAAGACTCTGTGACCCACGGGCCTAAGGCACTTGAACTTTCCCCTAACCGGAGCACAGTGGAGGTTTCTAAGAGTTGAGCCTCCCGGGACTGTCCAGGAATTCTGGACCTGTGTCTACATGCACGTGTTTCCAGATGAAGACGGATATTAAAAACTACCAAACGTGTACAAGTATCTTTAGGTGTCTTCCCCAAGTCCACTTCTGACAACAGTCCCCAAAGCCTGGCCCCTTTGTAGATGTGGAACTGCACATTCTGTCCACTTTCAGGGTGTAAAGAGAGCAGCCCAGAGATGCATAATTGCTGGGAACATTCTCTGCAAGTCATGCACGAGGGTAGTGGGGTGAGGTGCAGTTAAATGGTGACACACACGGTGTTACGGTGAGCTCTCCGTGCACAGTGAGGGCAGGTGACAGGGTGTCTGTCAGCTTATCTGTCCCACCTGGTCCAGCCCGTCCAATTCGGGGGAATCAAGAGGACTGAGACCCCGATAGCCACTGTAGACTCTCTGACCGTCACCCACAGCATCGTTGGGCCCCATTGGGCAAATGTAATCTGTCGATTCATCAAACTTCTTTTTTCTCATGTTTCCAAAATGTGAAAATCCAAGTTTCCTAGGCTAAAACAGTAAACACGAGATGATGAGCTTACCAGGCCAGTGTGCAGATGTAACTGACAGTACGTCTAAGAGCTGCCCTAGGAGGCTAGAAATGGTGCAGACTGCTTGTAGGAAGCAAACAGAGCTCATGCAGTTTCTATGCTGAAGAAAGGCCAACAGATGAGCAGACCTCAAACCCAGAGCTGCTCCTCCCAGACTGCCTGAAACACAGACCCCAGTGTCCCTCCAGTCATGTTCCTTTTTACAAGAAGGACTGAGGAAGCCTGTGGGATGCCATGTCTGTACTCGAGGCTGAGCACAGGGGACTAGCCTTACCACAGCTACTGCACATGGGCAAGCAGCATCCTGAGCTACTAGATAGCCCTGGGTTGGCCTTCCTCCCTATCTGAGCGGTACTCACTGCTTCTGCTAGACTCCCCCAGACACACTAGCTGTCCTACTTCCTCAGGGAAGGAAGTCAGAGCAGGAGGTACAGCTGGACCTGAGGTACTAACACGCTCGTTGGGATGACACCAGTCCAGCCTCTGGAGGTTGTCTATGGGCATGCAGTTTGGGAAGGATATGGTCTGAGGATGGTGTGACTCAGGCTGGATTTTGTTTCAGAGAAACCAGGGAGTGGAGCAGGTACCTGGATGACTCCAGGGCCTCGGGTCAGCTGCATGCTGACCACATCATAGAACACAATAGCAGAACCAGATGCTATGGGAGCACTGCTAGTACTACCACGACGGCTCTGGCCCAGCCCGCAGGGCACTGTGGCACACAGATGAGCCTGACTAAAGAGAACCCAGACCCAGAGCTCATCTGCTTGCAGCAATGGAGTAGACGATGAGTTTCCAGACACTTCCTGCACATGGTTTCAATGTACAGAAACTTGTGCTGTGTTCCTGAGACTCAAGTCAGGCAGAGAATGGATCTAATCAAGAAGAACCAACTGCAGGCCAAACTCCTACAACAAAAGTGGAGCAGGCTTCTCGTCCAAGCTGGACTTACTGGTTTGTCTCCAGACATTCAACCAGCAGCTGTTCAACATGAGGGTCAGAGGCAGACCCCAGGGCCCACACACAAAGGCTCTGTCAGCTTACCCGGACTTTGGCTGTGGTAGTCAGTGGTGTGTAAGCTGGCGAGGTCATTTTATCTCGCTTTTCCTGTTCAGCCTCAGGACCAATCAGGGCATTAAATTTGGTGGTCAGGTGGCGCCTGAGGAGTGTCTTCTGTGGTGGGATATTGAGAAGCATAGCCAGGGTGTCCCCAGTGAAGCGTGGCTCCAGGATCTAAGAAGAGACCACAGAGAAGCCTAAGGAGGATGACCACAGATGCCGCCATGGATGACAGTGAGAAATGGATCCCCTGGGTGTCTCCAGAACATGGGCTAAAAGTCATCCAATCTTGTGTGTCCCGCTCATCTCTCTCCCCAGCCCAAGGCCTGGCTTTGGGCAGACCAGCACATTTAATGCCTAACCACCTCATCTTCACAGGCTGGCAGAGAACTGGGGCCTCTTTGTTGAGGCTGTTTTCCCAGTCTCCTCTGATGGCATCTCAGCCACCACCTCCACATTTCCCTTCTGGCTTTGACACTTGACAGTGTAAGCAGTGATAAAGATCGTATCGTGGGCAAGCAGAAATTACATCCAGTGGCCTCCCCTCAGTTCCCCAGCCCCTGTGTTCCTCTAGAAAGGGGTGGAGCTGCCCTGTGCAGGGTTGATCTCATGCAGCCCCACTACCCAGAATCCTCTGGGCCTGAAACCAAGGAAGTCTTTGGAGAAGCCATGCTTCTTTCTATAAGGATCAGTAATTCTCAACCACAAATTATCAAAATATCTTGATATTTCAAATTCTATAAAATGGTTCAGATGAAATATCTAGCTTTTTTCCTCTAGAATGTATGTCTGTCCCTTAGGAAGTGGGAGCACTTGTTTTAATGGTCAAGCTGACTCACAGAATGAGCATCTCAATGAGAGACCGCCTAGATTGGGTTGTCCTGTGGCCATGCCTGTGAGGGATTCTTTTCTTATTTGGGTTGAGGCGGGAAGACCCACCCTGAATGTGGGGGGCACCATTTCATGGGCTGGTCCCTGAACAGTATAGGAGTTAAAGAAGAAGAAAAAAGGGAGCTGAGGAGAGGAGAGGGATGCATGTACTCATCCTCTCAAGCTCTTGACCGTGGCTTTGCTGTGTCCCGCTGTCTCAAGCTCCTGCCTGTGTCTTCCCTGCAGGGGTGGACTGAAACCTGGTTTGGGAATACTCCAGTTTGCATCAAGGCACGTGGGCTAGCCCAGAGAGCAACTCACAATGAGGCCTCCATGGACACCACTCCCTCGGAGGTTGGGTGCGTACTCTGCCAGGTCCACAGATCGCAGCCACTCCATCACCCTGTGGTTGGACCACTGCACAACTTCTGAAGGAGAAAGGTTACTCTATGATAGGGAGGAGGGGAGACAAGTTAGGCTTCATCAGTCCTGTTAAGGTCCTCTATAAGGTCAGATCCTGTGAAGATGCTTTTCCAAAATGTTTCATCAGAAGAGCAGGCCCTGACAACTAGCAACCCAGGTCAGCCAGACCGCTGTCTGAGAGCCTGCCCAGTCCTAAGAAATAGAGATCTTACTGAATCATGCAACGTCTTATATACTGAGATGTAAGAATCCAGAATCCTATTATGCTCAAATTTTCTAACTAGCTTTGTGACAAATAACCAAAGAGCTGTAGGTTTTGATTCAGTGATCCAACAGAATTTTAAAGATCCAATCATAAGCCAAGTGTTGTATAAAGAGCTTCCTGGCATGGGTGAATGTTTTAAGCAAGCACACATGCAGATACAGACCCCTGTATGCTTTCACGTGGTCTTCAGAAAGCTCAGCACTCTCACAAAATTGTGTATCTCACATGGGAGATACATAATTTTTGAATAGCAAGAAAATAGGGGATGGAAGGCAAAAGTAGGAGCTTCCAATCCCTCTAGAACCAGAGCTGAATAATAATAATAACAACAACAATAATAATAATAATAATAAAAAACCCAGAGGAGGGGGTGGGCTGTGACGGACTGTCCTTCAGTTTGGGGCCCACCGAGAACTCTGAGGTTTATAGAATACTACCAGGCATCTTACCCAGATGTGGGCTGCTGTGTTTGCCGACACCAGTTCTTCTCAAGCAAGACCTGCCAGTGGATCTACCTGGGCCTAAAGCCAGTAGAGGCCCCTGCTCTGAAATGTCCAGCTCCTTCTGGAATCCTTGTCCCTCCCTCTCCTGGCTCCTCTATCCTCTGCCTACTCTGACATCATATTTCCAGATTGCCTTTCCCTTCCCCTCTTTTTTGCACGATGTCACATCCTTCAGTCATTACAATGACTTTGAAAGTCTGGTTGCCACTGCCCTGTAGCCCACAGCATTTGTCTCCCTAATTCAGGGTAGGTGATTAGAGTGTTGGTGACTACCACGAAGTATGGGCAACAGGGTTGTCATCGGTACCAGAATCTCAAGCACCATGGTCTAAAATGGAGCCATCCTCATTTTCTAACACAGGGTATTTCCAGCGTCCTGACTCAGGGCCACCTGCACAGCTTCGACTGTCCCCTCACCTCATCGGCTGGCCTCCGGTGCAGGCAGTGGGGGTTGAACTTGTTGACATGCAGCACATGGATGGCACATTTGATGCTGAGATGATGCAGTTGGCTGGTGACTTTTAAGAACAGTAGATCATTCTGGAAGTGAAAAGCTCATTGATGAACCAGTTTCCAAGGTGGAAAAGACCCCAGAAGTTCTTTCTGGACCAAACATATACACATCTCCCACATCTCAGAAAGCTGTGCACATACATCAACAGCTTCTCATCACTGTGGTTAGTACTTTGGTACTCGAGATATCGTATGTAATGGCTGGTGCTATTTCAAGGCCTTAAGAATACGAGGGAGGAGGTGGAATCGTTTAAAACAACTAGCAGGGGCACATCTGGGCTGAGTGCTCACTGGAACAACCAGAGGTACTTAAGGGAAAATCCTCACCACAGTTAGGTACTGCAGCATGCGTCCATCAACTCTGGATTCGTGAAACTGGTCTTTGTACTGGGGTAAGCCGATATCATCAAGCCACCCTAGAAAACGACAAAAACAGATGTATTAGGATTCATGAGAGCAGATGAGCGTGAGTGCCAGGAAAGAGGCCACGAATGACCATTCTGAAGCTCCAGTTTTACTCCCCCAAAGGGTTAGTAATCCACATGCCTTCCACAAGTGAGCTACTGTCCCTGAGGCATACATTCAGTGGGAATTCCCAGGAACTGCAGGAAAATCCTTAATAAATAAATGCCTGTTCTTACGTGTCACCCAAATATGGTCAAGCAGCGCAGACTTCTCCTCCTGCTTGGTGTTGATAGCTTTCACTGCTAAAACCAGCTTCTTCCTGTGGAGGGGGTGTTTAATTCCCAGCTCCTGAAATTAAAAGATGAAGCCCAGATGTGAAGTTTTGGCAGATGGCTTGGCCCTCAGAGGATATCATGCCACGATGGAGACGCTCTGAGAGAGTGGTAGTGGATCTTTGCACAGGGCCGCAGGATTGGACCTACAGCAACAGAGGGAATCTCAGCCTTTCCTGTCCACCCTCTCTTGTGTATGGCAGAGTTGGAGGCTGCAACCTGCCCTGGTCCCCTGCTAATCCTGTTTGTCGACTTGACACATGTGAGGAAGAGGAAACTTCAATTGAAATTTTTTCTCCATCCTGTGGGCATGTCTGTGGTGCATTTTCTTGACTATTAATTGATGTGGAAGGTCCCAGACCACTGAAGGTAGTGCTACCCCTGGGCAGGTGAGCCTGGGCTGCATAAGAAGGGTAGCTGAGGGGTGGCCAGTGCTGATGGCCAGCTGGATGGGTGCCCTTGAGGACAGGTGGATGGGCTCGGTGAGGGCAATGGGCATGCACAACCCGCGTGGATGCTGCAAGGCCTGCCCGGGAGGGCCAGGGCTGCGCTCAGAATTCTGATTTGGCTGCTGCTTTGAAATAAAAACCCTAAAAATGCCACCTTGCTTGGTCGTAGACGATGACCTGGATAAATGACAAAAATTTCTTAAGAAAAGCATTTTGGTTTTCTTACTGTCTACTCTCCATATACTTCTGGAGTAATAATCACCATGGTTTTAGATGACCTTCCAGACCTAGAAGGCACCTATACTTCCTTATGTTCATCAACAGTGGCTGACTCTGAGATGGACTTTGACTCTGGACTAGAAGATGATGACACAAAAAGTGACAGTATTTTGGAGGATTCCACAATTTTTGTAGCCTTCAAAGGAAATCCAGATGACAAAGACTTCAAATGGAAACTGGTCACGATATTAAAGGACACTCAACTTGTTACAGATGGGTAATGTGCTTTAATTACTGTTTCCTTCTTGTTTTTGAACTGTTTGCCTTTTCATGGTTATTTTCAGCCTTGAAAAGTAAATCAGAAGACTGGTATTAAGTACAAAAGGAAGAAGGGTAGCTGGGGAAGCCAGAGAAAGCAAGCCGGGGAGCAGCACTCCTTCCTGGTTTCTGCTTCAAGCTCCCGCCTTGAGCTCCTGCTGTGGCTTCCCTTAATGATGTCCATAACCTGTAAGCCAAATATACTCCTTCCTCCCAAAGTTGCTTTTGGTCACAGTATTTACCACAGCAACAGAAATCAAAGAGGACAGTTCCATGTACTGATCTGGGGGGAATGGGAATTTGCCCCATGCTCGGCCCTTACCTTTTCCATGTCTTGAGGGGTAGCTGTGAGTAGCGTGTGGCCAGATGTTATCCACTGCCTGGCAAAGATCACGTACTGAGCCAGTCCAAAGTCCTCCAGCCATGCACATACACGTTCTGTGCTCCACTGGGCAAAGGGGGCATTGGCGTCACTGGGAAGAAGAGCATGCTCATGTCAAGAGGGAGCTGGGCTCTGCACAGCACAAAGCACCCCCCCCCCGGCAAAGTAACCATCTTTCAAAATATAACTCTGATGAGTGAGTAAAGGGGAACGAAATTCCACTACAACCCACCCATGTAAGCAACCTACATGATCTTCAAGAGACTGTTTACTACACAGAGGCCCAGATGCGCAGCAGTGCCACAAACCTAAAATGTGGTCTCTTCAGGATGAACACCTACAATGAAACCATTCTGTCCATAAGATTCCAGACTCTTTAGAAAAGTGCTTTAAAAAACTAGGAAAGGGGGCTGGAGAGATGGCTCAGCCATTAGGAGAGTGTAGTGCTCTTGCAGAGGACCCGAGTTTGATTCCCAGCACCCACATCAGGTGGCTCACAGTCACCTGTAACTTCAGCTCTGGCCTCCTTGAGCTTCTCCAAGCACATGCACATAGCCCTCCTCGCTCCCCACACACCTACACATAATTAAAAATAATAAAAATAAGTCTGGGCCTGGTGGTGCATACTTTTAGTCCCAGCATACAGGAAGCAGAAATAGGTAGATCTCTGTGTGATCAAGGCCAGCCTGGTCTACACAGGGAGTTCCAGGCCAGCTGGGCTACAGGGAGACCTTGTCTCTAAAAAAAAACAAATAATAATAATAACAACAACAAATAAATCTTAGATTAAACTAGGAAAAGACAGTTTGTTCTCTAACATGGAGAAAAGGAAGACCAAAACCCTTCTAACTTATAACAGCCAATACCTTATTTATTAATGAAATACTATATCATCAATATTATATCATCAATATTATATCAACATTATAATCAACAGATGTGTATGTATACATGTATACACACATATTACATGTGTAATTATTAACATTAATCTGAGTGGTACATCCAGAGTAAGAAGTGGTAAAATAAAAATAATACTATTGCTATTAGAGTTACAGAAATAAAAGAACACAATACTTTTGATGATAGCATTTCCTACCTAGAAAACCCATGAGCACTCAATACATGACTAGTAATAAAACAAATGCACACATTTATGCATATGTAATAAGTATTACATGCAAAAATTGTTTACATATTATCCATGCATGTATACACTATTGCTTTTATTAAAATGATGAAAAAAAATCCCCACCCAAACCAATCAAAATTATCATTTGTCTAGGAACTGCCTTAATATGGAGCATGTGGGTGTTCTGGGCCTGCTCGAGGCTGGGGATGGAGGCGTAGCAAGGCCATGTGGTAGCTGCAACTCTCAACCGAGCAACCCAAACAGAGACATGAATAAATGAAGAGCTAGATCAAGTTCCTAGACAGGATGGCTAGGTATTAAAAGCCATCCATTCATTCTTAATGACACCAATTTTTCATTTAAAGTGTGAATATAATGGCACATCTGAAATCCCAATGGAGTCTTGGAG